GTCAAACTCGTCAATGCAGCACACCCCCTGGTCGGCCAGCACCAGGGCCCCGCCCTCCAAGGTCAGCTCGCCACTCACAGAGTCTCTTAGCACAGCTGCCGTGAGGCCCACCCCGGAGGAGCCACGGCCTGTCGTGTACTGGCCTGCACAGAAGGGTCAGGAAGGTAGACACGCACAGGCGTGTTTAGGAAGAGGGAGAACGAGGGAGCAGGGCAGAGGGAACGGGGCCGGCAAGGCGAGTAGAACTGCTCTACGGACCTAGCCGGGCCATCCTGAGGCAATGGCAGGCCTGGGGGTGACAACATCAACATCCATCTCCAGTCCCTGACCCTCCCCCAGCGGATGCCTGGCGGTCCTCCCCCGCCCTCAGGTGCCTCTCCCAGGATCTGATACTCACTGCGGGGGGCCAGGCGATCAATGTAGGACAGGAGCTGAGACTTGGCCACACCGGGGTCCCCCATCAGGCAGATGTTGACGTTGCCTGGAGGAAGGGAAGGAAGCCCCTGAGAGACTGTTCCTTCGATGCGAGCTGTCTGCGCACAGAGAAGAGGACTGCTGAGGTCTGCCTGCCCTGTGTCTAATCCCACCCTGTGCCCAGGAAATCAAGACGCCGGCTTTCATTCTCTGACCGACAGGACCCTGATCCAGCATCCTTTCTCCCCCGATGCCTCCACTCACCCCTGATTTTCATGCCTCGAGGAGACTGGTCCACCCCTCCCACCAGCAGGAGCAGCAGTGCCTTCTTCACATCTTCGTGCCCGTATATCTCTGGGGCGATGGAGGCTGCCAACTTCTCATAGAAATCCTCCTCTGTGGGAAAGCAAAGACTCAAGAGTATTTTCCAGGGGAAAGAAGTACTTGGGATAAACACATTTATCTTCCCGCTGACCCCTCACCTGCGATTTGCCTCAGCTCCTCCCTGCTCAGCTCTCCGGCCCCAGACTCATCCTCCTCACTCTTACTCATCTTCACAATCCGATGGGCTTCCAGGTAAGTTTCCGAGAGTAAACCCTTGGGCAGGAAAACACCAGGGTGTTAATGAAGTTCTCTACCTGCCCACCCACACGATTCCCTCTGGAGTTCCTGACAAACCCTTTGGTTCTGTTCTGCTATTGACACTTTTCTGTGGGGCCGGTAAAAGGGAAGGATGAGGAGGAAGGGACCACCACTTGCTCCTCTTAAACTCCCTTTCTCACCTGGACCATCTGTCGGAACCCAGCGCGCAGGATCGGCAGGAAGATGCCGGTAACACTGACGTGGTCCCCAGGCTGGGCGATCCTTGTGTTCTCTCCTTCTACCAGCACCGTGATGCTGCGAGGGATGTTTCCGACGGGCACTTGGTCACTCTGGGGGAGAAGGGAGCTTGAGGCCGGAGGACTAAACTCCCCTCCCGCGCACACCACTCTGCCACTCCCTGGCCTACTTGGCCCCACATAAACCGAGAGGGAAGCTGAGCTCTCCTTTACATCCCAGCTCAGTCAGAAAGTTCCAGAGAAGCCTGCTTCCTACTCTCTGCAACTTCTCTGCCTCAGCTCCTCTCTGTTCTACTTTCTTCCCTCTACTTCACGAGTGACTACTGAAGTTGAGTGAACTCCCCACCTCCAACTCCCCTGGACCCTAGACTTCACACCCCAAACCCACATGTTCCTGCATCTTCATCTCCTGGAATTTGATGAATTTGGAGCCACGAGTCTGGAGGTACAGTCGGCCTCCTGAGCGGTTGGTTTGGCACTCCTGACTTGGGCACATGATCAGAGGCATGAAAGTAGGAGACTGGATCTAGAGTGAAAAAGGAAGCACCAAAGAAGTCATGAGGAAAGGAGCCCCTCAGTCACTGGAATCACGTCTGTCCTTCAGCAGAGACCATGGCCCTTTCAAGAGTGTCTTAAGCCGTGCTAGGCAGACATTGACAGACACAAAGAGAACAGACTCCATACCTAAAAGTGACCACACAGGCGTGTTTTTCAGTAATCAGAAAAGACATCAGATACACATCAGTAGACAAAGTTCATCCTCACAGAATCAAGTGTGCTCCCGTTCTCTGCTCCATACATACCGGCTGGTAGGTTTCTGCCCCGCACTGGTCGCAAGTGTAAGTGGCCACCACCATTCTTGGTTTGACTTCAGAGACACGAGTGACAATTCCACGCACTGTTACTAGTTTCCCCACAGAGTCAGCCCGTACTTCCCGGATCACACGAGGCTTGTTACTGCTGGGGCCTTGAAAATACAGCTCACTAACGGAGAAAGTGGTCATTAGCAAGGGTCTGGGGACCTGAACCCCGCGCATGTCCCCACCGTGGCCACTCACAATCTGCGCATGAGCTCAGGAGGGTACTGGTTTTGAGGGCTTCGGGCTGCCCCCGGGTCACGGCTCCGCTGCTCCATCATTAGCCGGTGCTCAATGTAAACATCCAGGACATCTTTATTTACTACCTAAAGGAAAAGGAAGGAAAACAGGAAAAGTGAGCGGCAGAATGGTGAAAGGAGAGAACGTTAAAGAGTGCCAGGCAGAAACCACTGACCCCTTTGGGTCAGCTCGGACAGCATCAGTACTCAGCAAGTTTTTCGACACAAACCTAAATTGTGTGCCCTGCATTTTTCTCACCTCCCTCTCCTTGTATTGAGGCAGCAGCTCTTGAACAGCATCAGCAAAGAGCCTGGCATAGCGCTTGGTGTTCTCACAAATTGAGTCCACCAGCTCAGGGTCATCCTCAGCAATGTCATCTAGGTCTACGTACATGGCCACTTGCTCCCGGTGAGCCAGTCGAACCTGGGGTGAGGAAGAGAAAGCAGTGGAGCCAAGTTTATCTTACCTGTGTTCACAAGCAAAAATTGGTCACTACGAGCTCAGCACACAGGACCCAGGCTCCACAGGGGAGAAAGGTGTGTATCACTAGGTTCGCATTAAGGTCTTTTCAGGGATTGAGGGAGCTGAAACTGAGTCCTGTTCAGTCTCACATCGCTTTCTCCCAGGTGGCACAGTGGCAAAGGATTCGCTTGCCAGTGCAGGAGACACAAGAGACATGGGTTTAATCCCTGGGTCAGGAAGATTCCCTGGGGAAGGAAATGGGAACCAGCTCCAGTATTTTTGCCTGTAAAATTCCTTGGACAGAGGAGCTTGGTAGGCTACAGTCATGGGGTCACAAAGAATTAGACTGAGCACAGACACAGCACACAGATACTTGATACACAAGTATCAGGTACGGTGCTAAACTCATCACTTCTAGAAAAACTGCTAAAATAAGCCAGGCCTTATAGCTCAAGTCACCACCCATTCCATCTACCTAACTTTAGACTCACCAACTGGTTCCCATACTTGAACTGCTTCTTGCCAGATTCTTCATCCTGGTAAAACTCTTGTAGGAACTTCTTCACTTTTTCTACAAGGAAAGAATAAAGTCGTAAGGATGGACTTTTTTCATATACCTTACTGCAAACCCCTGATAGAGATCTAAAAAACTTAATTCTATTTAAAGTGAAATCTCTAAACAAATTAAATGAACATTCAAATAGGCCTACGTAATTCTGCCCAATAGAGCAAAACTCCTTTTCGCAAGCCTGTTTTTACTTAAGGAAGAATAAGTGGCCCCTAGCAGTTTAGAGTATTACCCAATACGCTCCCCCCCAGGGGAATTCCACTCTCTGCCTTAATTAGAAACCTCAGTACCCTTTTCTAAGGGCCTCCCGCACCCGGCAACATACTCAAGTCTCACGGTTCTCAGCTTTCCTTTTACGTGCTTTATTCCCCCTTTCTTTCGGTCCCTTAAATTGTTGCTCTCCCGGGGATCTCCGCCACCAGGCCAATCCCCCGCCCCACCCCCTCTCCCGCCACTGCTTCCGCTCTTAGTAAACAAAGAAGCACATGGGCCCAGATGCCGCCGTCTCACAGCCCGGGATTCCTCCGCCCGAGGAGGGAGCCCGTCCGGCGATTGGCCGGCTCGTCGAGGGCCACCCTGCCCCACCCCACCACTTCATCCATCGGCCTCCGGAGAAACCCCTCCAATTCCAGGCACGCCCCCACCCTCTGTCGCTCTCTCCGAGGCCACCGCGCGGAAGGACACTGTTTACAGACGACACTCCCTCCAGCAGCGTCGCGCAACTTCCGCCCGCCTCCACTTCCGCTAGGAGGTGGACCTAACGCGGCCCAATCGCGGCGCGCAGCGGCCCGGGACCGCCCGCCCCACCCAGGGCTTCGGCGCGTCTGGGGGCGCTGGGAGTGCCTAAGCGCGCGGAGAAAAGCGGGACTGGGGGTTGCTGGTTAGATAGGCCCCTGAGGGCCCGCTCTGTCCTTAGCGCGACCCTTCCCTCTGGAGCTTCCAGCTCGGGTGTCCGCACCGCCCCCCTCCACGACTCACTCCTTTCCTGGACACGATCACCAACTCTCCCCCGGCCTCGGCGGCCCGTGCGCCTCCACTCCGCCACCTCCCTACCTTGCCTCCGGCCTCGCGCGCCGAGAGCCCGGTCCCCCGGGACTCCAGCCCACACCAACAGGTGTCGCCCAGCAAGCTTCCCGCGCAGAGCGCTCCTCCTCCACTCGCGCTCCCTCACCTTTCTCGAGCGCGTAGTCCTGAAGTGCCATTGCGGCCGAGGACCGCACGGCAGGGACTGGCGGGCTCTCGAGCCCTCACCGCCCGGTCAGCCAAAAAACGTCCGCGCGGCGGACTGCAGCCGACCAACCGAAATTGGCGCGAAACGTCGCCCCCCACGTGACCAGCGCCGCTGCGTGCGGGCCAATCGGAGAGGATGCCCTTCGCTCCTCCCGCTTGCCGCGGGCCCCAGCCTCGGCCAATCAACGGGCGAACCTGGGCTGAGTGACGGGGAAGAGGCGCGGGTGTTTAGAGGGAAAAGCTGGGCAAGGCGGGGCGCGCGCCGGGTTTCCCGCGGTCGGAGGAGAATCGCTCTTAAAGGGCCAGCCTTCTCGCGTCCTTTTGTCCCGGGGCCGCAGGGCGGGGCAGGCCCAACGTTTTCTGTCTCCTAGTCTGTTCTCCAGAACGGCCATGATTTCCCAGTTCTTCATTCTGTCCTCCAAGGGGGACCCGCTCATCTACAAGGACTGTATCCTTGGCCAGAGGGGCGGGGGGAGAAGGGCTGAGTGGGACTAGGGCCCCAGTGCCAGCGAGTGTCGCCATATCCTTAGCTTTCCTTCCACTCTGTCAGTCCGCGGAGACAGCGGCGGCCGGGATGTGGCCGAGCTCTTCTACCGGAAGCTGACGGGACTGCCTGGAGACGAGTCTCCGGTTGTCATGGTAACCACTGGCGGGAGTGGGGGTGGGGTGGTGGGTATGCGGTTGGTGGTCTGGGGTTGGGAGGCGCCTCCTCCCGGGACTTTCTCTAAGAGATACTGGGGGTGGGGGAGTACATTCCTCTAAATAATATTAATGGCGGTGTACTGATCGCTAACCGCATTAGGCATAGCTCTTCACACGTCTCAATCCTCAGCCACTTTGGAGTAGGTACTATTATTAACTTCATTTACACGTTAGGAAGCTGGGCCTTGGGGAGGTTTCGTATGTGGCCTAAAGTCACGCTGCTAGTAAGTAGGGAAATCAGGATGGCAGCCTCAGTCTCATGGTCGGGAATCACTGCAGCTCTCTTCCTCACGCTTTTCTCCGTGCCTCCGCCTCAGCACCACGATGACCGGCACTTCATTCACATCAGACACAGCGGTCTCTACTTGGTGGCCACCACTTCAGAAAACATTTCCCCCTTCAGCCTCCTGGAGCTGCTCTCCCGGTGAGGAGGGCAGGGCTGACCACCCGGGCGCAGGGGTCAGGGTGTCAGAGAGGAGTTGTTATGCATCCTCTGTGTGGGTTTTCGCAGGCTGGCCACTCTCCTGGGTGACTACTGTGGCTCCCTAGGGGAGGCGACCATCTCTCGCAACGTGGCTCTGGTCTACGAACTCCTGGATGAAGTGCTGGTGAGGTTCCTCCCTGTCCCCGGTTCCCTGAAGATAACAGCATTCATTTTCACCCCTTCCCCCAACCGACTACCCCAAAGTGTCCTTCCTCTGCCCCTAGGACTATGGCTATGTACAGACCACATCCACGGAGGTGTTGAGGAACTTCATCCAGACAGAGGCTGTGGTCAGCAAACCCTTCAGCCTCTTTGATCTCAGCAGCGTTGGCTTGGTCAGTCCGGGGACAGAGGAAGCCAGGATTGAGGAGGGTTAGTGGGAAGCATCAGGCGTGAGGATTGATTGATTTGGGTGCTTTCAGTTTGGGGCCGAGACACAACAGAGCAAAGTGGCCCCCAGCAGTGCAGCCAGCCGGCCTGTCCTGTCCAGCCGCTCTGACCAGGTGAGGGAGGGGCTGATGGGTTCATATCCTCTGGTTTTTGAGTCCCCAGAGTCCAAGATCCCAGCATATCTTTTCCCCTTCTCTAGACACGGAGGATCCCTTTTCTTACCCTTGTGCCCCCATCCTGGGGCCCCAGCCTCCACTGTTCTGTCCTTTCTGTCTGTCCACATTAGGAGACAGACTGACCAACCTCCAACCACGAGACCCCCTTTCTTTCCTTAGAGTCAAAAGAATGAAGTGTTTTTGGACGTGGTCGAGAGATTATCCGTGCTGATAGCCTCTAATGTAAGTTTGGGCCCCAGCCCTGTGGCTGAGGATGGTGGCACGTGGGAATCGCTGGGCACTGACGTCCCGCTGCTCTCAGGGCTCGCTGCTCAAGGTGGATGTGCAGGGAGAGATCCGGCTCAAGAGCTTTCTGCCCAGCGGCTCGGGTGAGCAGCATGTGGGCTGGCCCTGGTTGGGCGTAGGAACGGCTCCTTGGTGGCGGGTGTGGTGGTATGGTGGCTTCTTCTGATACTCTTTCCTCTGACAGAGATGCGCATCGGCTTGACCGAGGAGTTTTGTGTGGGGAAGTCCGAACTGAGAGGTGAGGAGAAAGCGGGTCTTTTTCTTCTAGGTAGAGGTCTTTGTCCCAGGTTTCATCTGGAGAAGTTAGATGGATCCCCACCCCCTCCCAAAATACAGGTCAGCAAAGGGGGTCTTTCTCTCTTTCCAGGCTATGGGCCGGGAATTCGGGTGGATGAGGTCTCCTTTCACAGTTCAGTGTACCTGGATGAGTTTGAATCTCATCGGATCCTCCGTCTGCAGCCCCCTCAGGGTGAGGTCAGGACCGGGCTGGCCTAGCACATTCCATCTCCTGAGGGGGAGGGAGGCCGTTCATGTATGAGGAGACCAAACTCACCTCCCTTCCTCTCTGGTCTCAGCTGACTGTGATGAGGTACCAACTTTCAGATGACCTCCCCTCCCCGCTCCCCTTCCGGCTCTTTCCGTCTGTGCAGTGGGACCGAGGCTCAGGCAGGTGAGACCATTTCCCTGTTCTAGAATTTCTCTGGAGCCCAAGCCAATGTATGTATGTGTGTGTGTGTACATATATATTTGTATGTATATATGTAATTCCCAGACTGACTTTCAGGAGTGGTGGTGGTAACGACATTGGCTCCAAGTTAGAATAGGCACCCTCCCCCACAAGCAGACCCAGCTCCGCGCATGGCATGGCTCGTGGAGTTGGGTGGATCTCAGCTCTTCTCTCTTTCTTGAGGCAAAAGCCACAGCCACACATAGGGGCCTGCCAGTGGGATAGGGCCTGAGTAACAGCATTGTACCCTCTCACACAGGCTCCAGGTTTATTTGAAGTTACGTTGTGACCTGCCCCCAAAAAGGTGAGTGGGCTGGTCCAGCTGTGGAGGGTAGGAGACAAGGCCCAGATACCTGCTCTTTCCACCCCAGGTGCCGCCGGGAGCCTCAGAATCCAGGGGAGAGCCTCTGGAGTTTGGGAAGGGGGTGGGGGGGCACTTGTGCACAAGTCCGGTGGTGACAGTAATGAAGATGGGATGCAACCTTCCCGGGACTGACTGCTGCCTTCTCCCTTGCAGCCAGGCTCTCAACGTCAGGCTGCACCTTCCCCTGCCTCGAGGGGTGGTCAGGTGAGCGCGTGTGCACTGCAAGCCTGTGGGCAGTCTCACTAGCTTCTCAGGACAACAGACAGCGCTGGGGTGGGAGCTGTGGGGCAGGGGCTGACCCCAGCCCTTTCCTCTCCCGACTCCAGCCTGTCTCAGGAGCTGAGCAGCCCAGAGCAGAAGGCAGAACTGGCGGAGGGAGCCCTTCGCTGGGACCTGCCTCGGGTGCAAGGAGGCTCTCAGCTCTCAGGCCTCTTCCAGGTACCAGCTGCTGATTCTCCAAGGCCCTGCCCCTGCCTCCACCTCCAGCCCTGACCCGTGCCTTCTCACGCAGGGGGTCTGTGTGGTCAGCTCCATGGCCCCTTGGCTCTCTTGCCCTCCCTCCTCTTGGGGCCTTCAGCACCCCTCCCTGCCTCTGCTCCTCACAGATGGACGTCCCGGGCCTCCCTGGGCCTCCCGGCCAAGGCCCCTCCGCCTCGGCTCCCCTAGGGCTGGGCCCTGCCAGCCTCTCCTTTGAGCTTCCCCGGCACACGTGCTCTGGCCTCCAGGTCCGCTTTCTCAGGCTGGCGTTCAGACCCTGCGGCAGCGCCAGCCCGCACAAGTGGGTGCGACACCTAAGCCACAGCGACGCTTACGTCATTCGGATCTGAAGCTCCCAAACGAGGGCATGGGAGGCAGAGGTGGCGGTCAGGGCATCGCAGAAGGACGGCGTTTTCTCTCCTAGTGTCCTGGCCTGGGACTGGAAGAGTCCTGAGTCCTCGAGATCAGTGAGCTCAACAAGTTAGACCCTCCTGTGGGAGCTGACCCAGGGAGGACTGAGGTGGATCACAACTTAAAAATCGAACTTTTATTCTGAGCAACTGGCTGTACAATATCTAAAGAGAAAGTCACGTGGGGGAAGCTGGCTACTACCCCCTTCCACCCAGTATGTGTGTGTCTGTGTGTGTGGGGGAGAGAGGGAGAATCCAGGGAGAGGGTCAGCATCAGGGTGCGGGCGGAGGGGAGCCAGCCCCGGGGGGCTGCGAGCCATTAGCCTTTGGAGTCCCTGGAGCAGGAGGGGGGCTCTCCCCAGCTTCCGGTTTCCCCCCACAGAGGGCACTGCCCCCAAGCGGGGAGGGGGCTGAGGATGGGGTAGGGGCAGGAGAAGGATGGGAGGTGGGGCCTCCTTTGCCCTCCCCGGTGGGTGGCAGAGAGACCACGATGTATTTCTGGACGCTGCCGGGACCTGAGGGGGCAGTGCTAGGGGGCGTGGTGGTGGCGGTGGAGACCAGCTTGACGATGGGCTGCACGCTGGGGACGGTGGTGGTGACGGGAGAGGTCGTGGTGGAGCCGGAGCCCGGGGCCGAGGTGCTGAGGGATAGGACCTGGGCCAGAAGGAAGGCAGTGCTGCTGGCCTGCACCCACCCCATACCCCAGGCTGGGGGACGCCTCCCAGGCTCCCACCACACAGTGACATGTGACACGGGCCCCAGCATCCCTGGGACCACGTGGGGTACCTGCTGGGTGGATGAGGCGCTGGAGGACGAGGACATGACGATGAACTTGGTTGGTGGCGGGGACGGCTGTGGTGGGGCGGCAGCTCGCGCAGACACCAGCGTCTGGACGGGTAATGCGATGGAGCCGGGGACCTTCAGCAAGCCGGGGGTCCGAGGGCCAGGCTGGGGGGCCTGTGAGAGGGTCAGCGTGGGCCGGGGCTGTAGAAAGCAGCAGCAGGAAGAGAAGGTCACCATCTGTGTTCACCAGCTCCCCCAAGACGGCTGACTCGGGGGCCCCATGTTTCACAGAAGTCAGGGTGCGCACCCTGGCGTGCAGTGTCTGTGAGCCCCACTGGGATGGGACCCACCCCCCGAATTTTTTTTCCTTTCACCCTCCCTTTCCTCTCCACTCAATCCCCTTTCCTCCCTGACCCTGCAATGACCTGAGTGATGGTCAGGGTGGTCCTGTTGACCTGCTGAGCCTGCAGTGCAGCCTGAGCCCGGGCCTTGACCACATGGGAGCAGAGGAGGGGCCCAAGGGACCCAAATTCTGCCCGATAGGCGTCCTGATTGTCGGGTGGCGGGCGCAGCTTTGCTAGGACAGGGGCACAGTGTTTCTGCAGAGACAAGGCAAAGAACCGCCAGGTTGAGGGAGGGCCAGGACGCTGAGAATCGGGATGGGGAAGGGGTGACAGAGGTGATCCATTGTTTCAGTGTGTGCCTGCCGGAGGCCAGGCTGCGCTCACTGGCTTATCAATGTGTAAGGAATGCGGTGGTTTTTCCTTGTAGAGAGCACAGGCACCAGCTGGTTGAGCGGACAGCTCACTGCGTGATCACACTGGTCACATCTAAGGGCCAGCTGGCCCAAAGGGCGTGTGCCTTGCAGAAGCATCAGGGGCAGGTCAGGCTTGAAAGTCACAGGCTGCGTTCAGACTTCTTATTTCTTACTCAGTGCCTTGGTCTTTCCAGCTATGTAACAATATTGGGACTCTGAGGTGTGCTCTGCATATGAGGCGAAGACAGGATAAGTGAATGGAAGACGCTCTATGCTTTGCTAAACACTGTCCTGTGTGTGTGTGTGTCTGGCGGAGGCAGAGGGGGCATCAGTGGGAAGAAGGGGGAGGGCGGGGCTCTGTCACCAGAAGGAGGCTCTGCACATGGTCAGCCCCGATGCGGTCAATGTTGCTGAGCACTGGGCCATCCAGAACCCCTCGGATCCGCTCCCCTTCCTGCTGCAGCCGCGGCAGAATCAGTGTCTTAATCACCTATAGGAAAAGGAAGGGAGAAGCCGGGGTCTGGGGGTCACCACAGGGTCTCCCAGGTCGGGAGGCTGTTTCCCACTCTGACCTCCCGATCCCTCCCCTTCCCAGGGCTCCCCTCCCAGGGCCTAACATCATGTCCCAGCTCTGCCAGGCCTGCGATGGAGCCGTAGCGTGTTGTCCACGGGGTCTTCTCGTCCACCCAGCTCTGTAAGGGGATGGAAAATAAACCCAAATGAAGGGGTGTGAAAAGCTAACTGGTAAGGACTCGAGTCTCATACCCACATTTCCTTATGTCATTAAGACACAACAGCTCTTTCCCGACCACCCTCTCTTCCTGATAGTAGCTGCTATTCTGACCTCTACCGTCAGAGATTAGTTTGTTTTAATTCTTTGGCGGCACTGTGCAGCATGTGGGATCTTAGTTCCCTGACCAGGGATCGAACCCTCACCCTCTGCATTGGAAGCACGGAGTCTTAACCACTGGGCCACCAGGGAAGTCCCACAGAGATTAGTTTTTGTTTTTGAACTTTAAAGTGGAATCACACAATTAGAAAAAGACACTGGATTTGGCCCAAGTCCAGGCCGCCCTTCTCTGCCGCTCGCTTTCAGTGTCACTTCCTGAAGCCACACTGGCTTGGGCGTGGTGCTCCCTGTTCCGGTGACAACCCAGCTAGTGGTGGAAAGGGCTCACCTTGGTGAAGGTCTTGGTGATGCGGGACTGGATGTTGTTCGTGGTTGTGCTGAAGTGCTTGCAGATCTGGGCCACCAGGCGGGCGGCGAAGTCCCGGAGCGCCCAGTGATTGTCCACGTCTGGCCGCAGGCACAGCTGCCTGCTGACGATGCAGGTCATCACAGCCGGAATCAGCTCGTGCACCTGCGGGAGAAGCCCGCGTCAGCTCACTGTGACAAACGGTCCCCGAGCCTGGACGAGGGGTGGGCTGACAGGTCCACTCACGTATTTCTCTAGGTACAGAGTAGGGTTGTCCATCAGCGCCTTCACCATGCGCATCAGGTAGATGAGCAGGGCCAGGTTGTTCTGCACCACGTTCACACGCACCTGGGGTGGGGAGGGAGCAGGGATGGGGCAGCGGGAACCCTCCATGAGCCACCTCTGCCGCCCATCCCGGAACCCCACCCTGCCCTCCCGTGGCCTCTCACCCCCTCCTCTCACCCCCTCGGAGATGAAGGTGCTGAAGCGTGGCAGCATTTGGTAGAGACCCGGGTCTGTGGCGATGCTCTGCAGAGCCTCCTGTGGGAGGGAGGGGAGCAAGTGAAGCGGGGCGACCCCCGGGCGGAGGAGGAGGGAAGGCAGGATGCAGCGGGGCCTCACCGCTCTCTTGGCCTCGCAGGAGCCCACGCAGGCCTCAGTGATCTCCTTGTAGTACAGCTGCTGCTCCACTGACAGCTCGTGGATGCTTCGGGGCTTTAGTCTCAGAGGCGCCCCCTCCAGCAGGGGTGGCGCCTTCTTCTCTTTCCCTGTGTGAGTAAGGGAGCCAGGTTTAGGCAGGAAAGCTCCTGAGGAGACCTGGGCACCAGGCAAACCTCTAGCCTCACCTCCCCCACCCAGGGAGACCGGCTTCTTGGCCCTTTCTGGGACTCTGGCCGGAGCTCACGCCCCCTGCCCTGACCTCACCCATCTCACACACATGACCATCTGGCTTTGGGGCAAGAGGCCTGGCCCAGCGGTACTGACCTTTGCCGTCAGCTGGAGCAGCCCCCTGACCTTTGCCTTTCAAGGGGCCGTCTTCCTCCTGGCCTGGCTTGGCTGACTTCAGGGGTTCTGTGGCCTCAGCCTTCTGCTGCTCCTTGGGAGCTGGTGGGAAAGGAAAGCAGTCAGGGGAGGAGATATGGAGGGAGGGGAAAGAGTAGGCGCTGGGCATGGAGGTTACCTGGGGGTGGGTTCTCTGGAATGGCCGGCTGGCAGCCTTCGATGCTCAACCAGTGAGCTGCGAGGAAGAAAGGTGTCCAGGTGAACCACGGGGTGGCAACATCAGGAAGTCACTCCCCACGAAGGGATGTGGGTTCTCCGTGTTCCCCGCTAGGGGTCTCAGGCGGAGGGCTCCTTCACCAGTGCCCTTCCTCACACCCACACCTGGCCCTTTCCCTCCTCCCTGCCCCATTCTCCCCTCCCCCGACCTTTGAGGCAGACGTCCAGGGGCACCCGGGGCAGAGGGGTATTGATGATGTCGCTCAGGTCAACCTCCTTCTCCTCGTAGAAGTAAAGCTCCCGGCCGCCGCCAGAGGCGAAACGGAAAGGAATGAATTCCTGAGCGTGGAAGCCATACAGTGGCTACAACAGGAGGGAGAGAGACCCTGGATGAGAAGGGAGCCCATGCAGGCTGGGCGGAGGTCAGTGCAGCGACTGGGAGGGCTCGGCACCCAGCCCCTCCGTGCTGTGCGTCCCTGTCACCTCGACGTTCTTTAGCTTCAGCGCGTAGTCAACGTCACTGGTGGTTAGTTTCTGCCGCTTCCCCATGTGCATGAACTTCAAGGCATCCTGGGGGGGGGTGGGAGGACAGACGTCAGCCCGAGACCCTGGGGACGGCGGCCTGGGCACAGTCTCTGTGCAGTGCAGGAAGGCCAGGGTACCTGCGCGATCTCCTTGATGCGGTAGCTGACCTCGTCCGTCAGCAGCTGGCAGGTCTCCTCCTGAATCTGAGCGATGCCCATGGACTCGGCCACCACCTTCATGGACTCCGAGGGCAGCACGGTGTTGCTCAGCTTCAGCTTCTTCTCCTCAGCCATCCTGGAGCCCCTCCTCCCCTCCCTGGAAGGATGATGCCCCGGGGCGGAGAGGGAGAGATGGAGACCCTGGGGAGGGGGGTGACAGGAACCTGAGAGTGAGACCTAAAGAGGGGTTGTCTGTCAGGAGAGGCCGCCCCGAGGGGAGAACGGTGGAGCGTGAGGGGGAGGAGCTGGGGATGTCTTCTGTCCATCCTCACGTGAGCGGCACTCACTGAACAGGAGGTAGGACTTGGACCCAACTGGATGCAATTTATTGAGCTCTGCTTCTATGCCAGGCACAGCGGAACGATCTCAGTTCTGTTTAAATCCCAGCCCCAGCACTACCTAGAAGTGTTGTCTGGGCAAGCTACTTAAATGCTCCCAGCTTTGGGTTTCTTCTCTGTAAAATGTGCAAAGTGTCTTTTTTTCCTCCGGTGGCTGACGTGCCTACCTTCATGTCTCTTGTCCCTTCTTGCATCATTATTCATACTTGACAAATATAAAATATTGGTTAAATACAACTCGTCCTATCTGAGCCTATGTGCCCCTACCATTGAATGTGATGAGAAAATACACAGCCATCTTGACCAATTTGCACTTTAAATTCATGGCCACAAACTTCAGATGGGCCCTTGATGCTGCTCTGATGGTCAGAGCTCAGTGGATTCAGGTTCCGTCTCACCTGTCATCTCTTCTCCTCCCTGATTTTTGGCCATCAGAAGAGACCTCCCCAGGCTCCCATCACTATGTCTACCTGCTGAGCATCGCTGGCACCCACGTGCTCTGTCTTCCTGTTACTGTAGAGGTTCTCGTCCCGCCCCTCCCCAACTCCTCTCCTCTTGAACCTACCCCAGTCACGATTGTGACTCCTGCTCTTGGTTTTCCTCCTACTTCACTGGCCCCTCTTTACATTGCCTTTGGCTGGTTCTTCCTCTTCTCATCTGCCTGATGCTGGAATGCCCTGCATTTGGTCCTCGTATAGCTATGAGCTATACATATTCCCTTGGTGACCTCAACCATTCCCACAGCTTTCAGTATTGCATACAGGCTAAGGATGGTAAATTTATATCCCCCATCCAGAGCTTTCTTCCCAACTCCAGACTTGTATATTTAATTGGCTACTTAAAATTTCTTCTAAACTCAACTCCTGACATCCCCCTCCCCACCTGCTCCAGCCTCAGCTTTCCTCATCTTCATAGCAATGCCATTAATCCAGATGCTCATTCATCACATAAGCCCTCACCGAAAACCCATCAGGTGATCTGACTTGATCCCTCTGCTCCCACTGCGTGGCCAGCTCACCATTATCCATCCCCTGGGAACCTTAAGAGCCTCCTCACAAGGTCTTCCCGCTTCCATCCTTGCTCCCTACATCTATTCCCAACACAGCAGCCAGAACGATTCTGTCAAAATATAAATGAGACTGGGTCATTTCTCTGGTCAAAACCCCGTACTGGCTCCCAGTGTGCCACAGCGTAAATACAAAATCCTTATTTTGGTCTACAAGGTCCCTCATGATTTGCTTTCTCCCCATCGAGTCTCTGACCTTTCCTTCCTTCTTCCACTATGATCCAGCCCCACGGTCCTCCTTGCTATTCCAAGATGCCAGGCATGTTCTTGCTTTGTGGTCTTTGCTCTGTCCCTCTGCCTGGAATGCTCTTCCCTAGATGTCCCCAGGCTGCCTATTCCCATTATCCTGTTTAATACTGCACCCCACCCCCACTCTGCTTTTTTTTTTAATTCCCATGGAATTTAACGTCTGCTGATACATACTGTATTACTTCTTATGCTTCTCACCACATCGCCCCTTCCCTTCTCTGGGTGGACGGAGAGCTTTGTTATGTTCACTGATGTATGTAAGAGTCCCCACACAGATTAGATACTCAACAAATATCTGCTGAATATATGAGTAAGTTGTAAGGCTTAGAGATTAGAAACTCACTAAGGACTCGGTACCGCTATTATCGAACAAGACATAGGCCCAAGCTTGGAATCTACTTTGTGGCCAAAAGGAAAGTGGCTCACTTGAAGCTGGCATTAGTAAGTCTAATGTCAACAGTGTTTAGGGCCGACTGCAAGGTGGTGAGGGGCAGGTGTGGGCCTGATGGAGGGGCGGGAAGAGGGGAGGGAAAAACAATTTCGTTCTTCTCAACCCATCCCAGGTCTCCTCCCCCACTTCTATAAATCTTATCTGCAGAGGACACATTTATTCAACACATACTCTGGACCTGAAGCCGAGTAAAGAGGAGGCGGTCGTGTCCCAGTTCCCTGGCGAGCTCCTAATCCTTCAATAGCCCGCGGTACCCGCTGCCAGTGTAAAGGCTCACAAAACAGGCACGGCCTCAGGAAACCTCAGGTTAGTGGAAGCGGCAAGGAGGCTTCACAGGAGACTAACTTGATCTAGACCCCGTGTAGCATTCCCCAGCAGGGAAGCGGGTCGAAGGGTCTCCAGGCAATGGGTACAGCGCGAAAGAAAGCGTAGAGAGCCCACTTCATCCCCCAACATCCCTCCAGTGCAAACACAGGGTCCCCACGCACACGGACACAACCAACCGTCCTCCTCTGGGTCCCCACACGGGCCCTTCAAAGAGTCTAGTCCCAGGTACCACTCAGACCCGCCCCCGCCAGCCGAACGCCCAGGGCAGGAAAACCCTCTCACCGCCGCCAAAGCGCCGCTCACCCGGCGCTCGGCGCCATATTGGCCCCGCCCCCTCCGGGAGCAGGTCCTGGCAGAGACCGAGAGCGGGTCCTTTGCCCCTTCCCCGAGCCGGAGTGAGCTCCCTAGTCTCACAGCCTGAAATGATATAAAAATGGTGTCTCTATGCATGCGTGTAAGGAGCACACTCTCTTGCTGTAATTACTTCAGTTTATTCTTTCACTATCCGGCGGCCAGGACCTTCGGGAGGCGCCACAAAACCAGGTGGGGAAGCCCAGAGCGCAGCGAGGCCCCGCCCTCTTTCGAGGCGGCACTGCGCGTGCGCCTCTCGTGCCAAGTTGGATTAAAGTTGCCGCCGACCGCCTGGGGATTTAAAGGGCCCGCTGCCTGCTCGAAGTTGGTTTGAAAGCGAGGGGTGGCACTTGAAAGCTGTGGACGGCACTTGGTCATGGGACCTGTGCGGTTGGGAACGTTGCTTTTCATTTTGACTGTGTACGGTGCGTGGGCTGGGACGCCGAAGGAGGAGGACGATGACACAGAACGCTTGCCCAGCAAATGCGAAGGTATCTAAAGGGAGTACCCCCTATTCGCATCCTTCTGCCCTACCTCCTTCGTCTGGGCCAGACCAAATGGAACGTGATGGGGTGGGTCACTCGACCTCCTTGAGGACCTGAGTGAGGTTCTGATGGAGCCTGGTGGAATTCGAATGGGGCCAACAGAGGGAACGCATAGCGATACCCCCAAACTATGGCACTCCAATTCCCATGAGACATCCAGAGGCGGGGGGGGGGGGGGGGGGTCCTGCTGTTTTTTTTTTTTTGCTGGTTTGGGCCCCAGTGGCTTGTGGGAATTGTAGTTCAGAGACTATCGGCCCGTTCGCCCACTCCAGTCAGCATCTTCTCTCTCTCTGTGCGTGTGTTTCCCCCATACGACCAGAGCTAAATCTGAAGAGCCTGCAGGAGTGGGCTGTCAGGCTCATTACCTTGTAGATATCCTCTGCTCCACCCCAGTAGAGACGCTCCCAAATTATAGGCCCTACGCCCTCCTGCGGGGGTTTGAGAGTCAATAAATCAGGCTTTGAAGCTCATAAAAGAGAGAGGTGGCCAAACAACTGGGAGAGGTTCCCCATAACTGTGAGGCTTTGCAGAGGGTGTGCACTGTGTGGAGTTTTCAGCAAGCAGCATCTTCTGTAGCTGCATCTGTTGGACCAACTGGGAGGGGGCACTTCAGAGCTGAGCCATCGAGCGCATTGATTGCCTAGTTTGTTGCCTTCCTGGCTTTAATTTCTTCCTGGAGTCTATTCCCCTTTGCCTTACTCCACCCTGCATTTCAGTATCAGTGTTCTTCATGACATGGTCATAACGGCTCCTTTCCTTTGTGTTCTCCCTCTTAACCCGATACACCTGTCAGTCTTTCTAAACACAGACTCAGTGGAGTCCCTCCTTGCTTTAACACCTCTTCAGGCCTCCTGCTGTGATTAGACTCAACGTTTTTGGCACATCTTTCAAGTCTCTTTCTTTCTTACCAGCCTCCATCTTTCTTACATTTCCATGCCCTACCTCCCATCCCCAACGTGCCCACGCTGCAGCCACACTGAACGTCTCAGAGGTCACTGAACCCGCCTGCTCCTGCTCCTCTGCCATTGCACTTTGTTTTTGTCCTTTGCCGGGAATGATCCTCACTCTTCTGTACTTGGTTCTTCAACGTCCAGTTTAAGTGTCACCACCTTTACAAGCCTCCTTCCTTATCTGTCACCTCTCACTGCATTGGAGGGAAGGAGAGCACCTATGTCTCCTTGGTCCTAGCATCGAGCCATAGGCATATGTGAGACACTTTTGTTACTTGCCCCTGTGGTGAGTTTGCTTGGCACTTCTGTATAGGCCATTCCTTTTCTTGGGACCCACGGGTACTGGGTAGACAGTGGTGGAAGAGACACAGTGCTCATCCTTGAGGAAATCACAGGCTAGTAGGAAGTCAATGAATGACCACTGAAGGAATTTTGCATTTCCTAGTGAGATTAAGTCTCTTGGTTTTATCTCCCCCCCCCCCCGCCCCAGTGTAGGGTCCATTACAAAATATTGTCATCGTCTTTTTATCTGTTGCCAGTGACACTAGCAATGTCCTGTGGATAGGGATCACGGGTCTGTGGCTCTCTGTATTGCTATTGTGTATCCAGAAGGAGCTCAATAAATAACTGCAGGAAACAGCAAACACTTCTGCAGTGCTCACCACCTTCCAGGCACTATTCTAGGGACTGTACATAGATTGATTTAACCCTCACCACAGCCGTGTGATGGAGGCACTTCATTTTAGAGGTGAAGAAACAAAGACCCAGCAGGATTGTCACCCAGCTACTATGTGGCTGAGTCAGGATTCCAGCCTTGCCAGTCTGGCCCCAGGGCCTGCACCCATAACCACTGTGGTTCTGCTGCCATCTACGGAATGAGTTGCTGGTATGTTTGTTTATTTTTCACATCCCCTTGGACATCTAGTATGTAAACTCCTGAGCCTGGAGCTACAGGAAGAGCTGAGTCGTACTGGCCGATCTCGAGAGGTGCTGGAGCTGGGGCAGGTGCTGGACACAGGCAAGAGGAAGAGACACATCCCTTACAGCGTTTCGTGAGTCCTTCTCAATGTTCCTCCACCTTCCAGTCCTCCAAGGAGCCCTGGGAGCACCCACAGCATCCAGGGAGTCTTTGTTTCCCCTCTTCCCACAGAGAAACAAGGCTGGAAGAGGCCTTGGAGAATTTATGTGAGCGGATCCTGGATTACAGTGTTCATGCTGAGCGCAAGGGCTCATTGAGATACGCCAAGGTCAGACTCCTCTAGGGCAGGATCCCACCTTTCAGAAACTACAGCCTATCTCCCCTGAGGTCCTCAGGGAAGTCTGCCCATCTCCTCCCAGCTCTGGAGTGTCCCCTCTCCATGGTAGACTCGCCTCATCCCTGTGGCACTCACCAGAATCTCCAGTAGATGACAAAGTGGATCTGGCAAAAAGGGGAGGAGGCGGGGCAGGGGACTGGACTGAGCTCAAATTCTCATCTTTCAGGGGCAGAGTCAGACCATGGCAACGCTGAAAGGCCTGGTGCAGAAGGGGGTGAAGGTGGATCTGGGGATCCCTCTGGAGTTGTGGGATGAGCCCAGCGTGGAGGTCACGTTCCTCAAGAAGCAGGTAGGATAGGGTACTGCATTGCCCAGGGAGGTGAGAAGGGAACCTGAGAGGGGAGCTAGATCCTAGGGAGGTCCATCTTTGAGCAAAGCAGGGACTCTGCCATTGACTGACATGGGCCCAGGAGCATATCCAGAAGTAATAATGGAGGCTAAGAATATATACTGCTATTTATTGAGTACCTACTGTGTGCCCAGTTTGGGGCCACATACTTTCCAGCTGCTGCCTCATTTTACCCTCACAACAACCTGATATGGTAGATACTATTACCACTTCCCATTTTACAGGCAAGGAACTAAGACTTGGAGTTTAATAACTTAGAAGGCAGGGTAGATGTCAATAAATGTCTGTTGAATGAAAGAGGACCACAAATCTAATAACCCAAGTTCACCTGCCTGGCTCCCTGCCTCTCCAGAGTAGGGTGGGGAGACAGGGGATGAAGCGCAGGGAGGGTCTGCACAGAACAGCAGAGCAGGTGCCCTTCTGACCCTTCCACTTGACCAGTGTGAGACCATGCTGGAGGAGTTTGAAGATGTCGTGGGAGACTGGTACTTCCACCATCAGGAGCAGCCCCTACAGCATTTTCTCTGTGAAGGTCATGTGCTTCCAGCTTCTGAAACTGGTAAGCGTGGGACCTGACCCCTTTCTTGCCAGGCTACAACCTCTCTGCCCCCCGGGACTAATATCTAAATTATTTTTTATTTCCCAATCTAGCGTGTCTACAGGAAACTTGGACTGGAAAGGAGAAGATCACAGATGGGCAAGAGAAGACTGAAGAGGAGGAGCAAGATCAGGAGGAGGAGGAAGAGGAGGAGATGACTAACACACCAGTCCACTCCCAGCATGACCCAGAGGATCTTTGACCCTTGCCTTTGAGCCCCCAGGAGGGACTGGGGTCATGGAGAACCCTCTGAAGTCTGAGCTCTCCTTGCCCTACAGCTTTAAGAGTGTGTGTATGTGTGAGTGACCCCACCTTACAGCTTGTAGCTCTTCTCTCCCATCTGGTCTCAGGCAGGATCCTGGTGGTGTAGCATTGCCTGGCTATGGAGAGAAAGGTGGAAGCAGTAGATAGAAGCCCAGCCCCAGCAAATGAGTCCTCTAAATGCCATTTGGCCCCTTCTCAGGTGTGTGTGGTGACAGTATTGAGTTATTTGAATATCTCCGCTACTCCCCACTGGACCCAGAGGTCAGCTGGGCATAGGAGCAGTGGACCTTGGCAAAGTCACTTTGCCCCTTGAAGGTCTGTTTTTAGAGTCTTAAAACAGAGAAGCCAGAATGGACATTCTGAACAACCTATACACACCGCTGGCATCTAGGAGGCTACATGCCAACAGTCTGTGAACGGGAAGGGGACACTGGATGGGGACAGGGCAGTACTGATAAGTTAGATGAAGTTAGATGGGGTAGACACTTTGGTCTACTTTGTAGTAATTTCACCGAGAGACGACCATGTAACATCAAAGGTGCCAAATTTTCTATAACGCTAGTAAACTTTTTTTTAATATCAGTTGGACCCCAAATTTCAAACAACTGCCCTCCACGCATCATAGGTGCCCGATAAACAGCAGCGTCCGGTGAAGAGGGCCGTCGGCCGCCGGCCTGTTAGAAGTTAATGGTGCTTTGTAATTTTGAAGCCTAGGAGGTTGGCAAGGATCGGCGGGCTGAGACCGGTTTCAGGCTGGGGGCGGGGCGCGGTCTGTGTAGCCCCGGTCTGCGCATGCCTGAAAACGCGCCCGAATGAAATTCCATGCGCGGGGCCGCCATATTTGGGTTACGGAAGCTCGCGGAAGACAAACTCCTCGCTTTTCCAGTGTCACTTCTTCCCTCGAAGTGAGGCAAGTCCTAAGAGAGGCGCTAAAGCTAGGTCCAAGGTGGAGAGAGGCTCCGGTTAGAGAGAAGGAAATAACTACCGGGGGTTGTTATTAAGACACCCCCGGGGTTGCGGTTGAGAACGTCACACGCGAGCGGGGCGGTGGCCGAAGACGCTGAGGGACGGGCGGATTCGCGCCGAAATTCAATTGGGCGATGCCAACTTAAGCGTGTGAGGGGGGTAGGAACTGAGATTTGGAAGGTACCATTCGGCGGAGGCCAGGCGAGTGTGGGGACCTGAAGGGATAGGACAGTCGCCCACAGCCCCACTTCTCAGCTGGTCCCTCTCAGGCCATGAGCGGTCTAGTGCGCACCGAGCCGCTGCCCGGGGAGACCCCTCTGCTGGTGCCCGGCGACCCCTACTCTGTGGTGGTTCTGCTCCAAGGCTACGCGGAGCCCGAGGGTGTCGGCGACGCCGTACGAGCCGACGGCTCCGTGACCCTTGTCCTGCCCCAGGCCTGGGGCCCGCCCTCCACCCACCGAGAGCCCCTGCCTTACGAGGCGAAGACCGCCCTAGAGGAGGCGGCCCGGGGCCCCATCCTCGTGGACACTGCGGGCCCGTGGGCTCGCGAGGCGCTCCTGGGGGCCCTGGCGGGGCAGGGAGTGGCTCCCGGAGACGTGACTCTGGTGGTGGGGACCCACGGACACTCGGACCACATCGGGAACCTAGGGCTGTTTCCCGGGGCGGCCCTGCTGGTCTCGCACGACTTCTGCCTCCCCGGGGGCCGTTACCTCCCCCACGGACTGGGTGAGGAGCGGCCTTTGCGCTTGGGGCCGGGACTCGAGGTGTGGGCCACACCCGGCCACGGTGGCCAGCGGGACGTGAGCGTGCTGGTGGCTGGCACGGCCCTGGGAACCGTCATGGTAGTGGGCGATGTGTTTGAACGTGATGGGGATGAGGGCTCGTGGCAGGCGCTGAGCGAAGACCCAGTGGCCCAGAAGCACAGCAGAAAGCGGGTCCTGGCCACTGCCGACGTGGTCGTGCCTGGTCACGGAGCCCCCTTTAGGGTGATAAGGGAAGCCTCGGCGCCAGAGACAGAGCCAGCCAGATCTCATGACGGAGAGAAGCCCATTGTGCACGGATAAAACCCAGTCTTGACTGGATCCTTTTCAGTGATCCCATGTCCCACCCCCCAACCGAGGAACTGAACGTCCAAGAAACAAGATGACGTGTTAAAGTAGTCATGGGTGGTCTCTTCCAGGAGGCCAGTTTTCCAGCGAGGACAGAGTGCTTCTGCCACAGCTGTCACCAGTATCATTGTTTCTCTGACCAAACTAGGACCAAGGACTCCTCAGCTCTGTGTCATCTCTCAGCCGTCATTAGTAAAATAGAATGTTCTTAGGAGTCTTCCAAAATAAAGGCAGAAACTGCATTGAAAGCCATACTGCCCTTCAAATATATTCCAATTAAAAGATTTTTTTTTTTTTTAATCATACTGCCCTAATGTAAATGTGAGTGCCTCAGGTGGTGCAATGGTAAAGAATCCGCCTGCCAGTGCAGGGGATGCAGGAGACTTGGCTTGGATCCCTGGGTCAGGAAGATCCCCTGGAGTAGGAAATGGCAGCCCACTCCAGTATTCTTGCCTGGAAAATTCCATGGAGAGCAGACTGGCAGCCTCAGTGCATGGGTCGCAAGAAGTTGGACACAACTGAGCATGCACACATGATTTAAAAGTGAAGCATCCATAGTGATTATTATGCAGATATAATCCAACAACTGCAACAAAGGGACGCTTTGGCAATACATTGTCTGTTTCTCAGAGGAGGCAGTTTGCTGTGAGAAAGTGCAGGGCAGAGAGAGATCATTGGAGTCATGTGACTTAAGTTGTCATTTGTTTGTTCAACGAATGCTTGTTAACACACCTGCAGTATCTCAGGCATGGCTTGAGCTCTCAGGGATATAGCAGTGAGCAATCAGACAAACTCAAGGAGACAGGTAAACAATAATAGTAGTAAGCCAAATAATTTCTGGTTCTGGTCAGTGATATGAACAAACGGCGAGGTGAGAAGGGGATAGAGTGCTGGGGTGGGAGAATGGTCAGGAAAAGCCTCTGGGAGGTGGTGCCTGATGAGAGAACTGAATGAGAAAAAGCTGGCCATGTGGGAGGGGGCATTCCAGGCACAGATATAAAGGCCCAAGGCAAGCCTGACTTACTTGAGCAGTAAGAAGACCTTGAGGTTGGGTTACAGAGCATGGGGGAAGAGCAGTAAAAAATGAACCTACAGAGTTCGGCAGCACCATCTTGTGGGGCCTTGGTGACCATGGTGAGAGGTTTTGATTTTGTACTGAGATCAAAAGCTTTGGTTTTATACTGACACAGAAGACCAGGTTGTTGACTTAGCCTCATTTATGTTTTAGAAGAATCACTCTTATTCTGAGTGGAAAAGGGGTTGAAGTGGGGCAATAACTAGGTTGAAAGTCATTGTGGTTGAACTTGACTTATTCCAGAAGTCCTTTTGTGGCTGTGGTCCTCCTCATAACTGTGTCCCAATACCAGGGCCCTCTGTCCACACAGCCCCAACATGGGCAGAAGTGTTTAGATTGGGGAGAGGAAGGAAAGGACAAAGTCCACCTCATTGTGGATGATGATCCTCCCTGGGTGGTTGCTGTTGGGGAAGGCCAGGCTGGAGGTCATTTCTCAGGTGTTCACAAAGGCCACATGGTCCGCAAAGGCAGTTCAGAAGAACCAGTTCACCTGGAGGGCATTCCAGTCGCTGCCATACACAGACTTGTATTCTGTGGTGGCCAGTTTGATGACCACCAGAGTGTGGGGCTCCTGGGCCAGCAGTGCAGCCACAGCGGCCCAGATCCCCAATTTCATGGGTCACCAGTTGTCATGAGGCTGCTGGTATGTGGAGGGAAAGCAGGGGCCAGCTGTGTGCACTATATATGTGCACTATATGTGTGCACCAGTGCAGCACTATACCCTGAGTGGTGTCCATGGCCATCAGAGGACCCATCTAATACACGGTATGTAATTCCACTATCTTCAGGGCTGCATGGGAGGATGAGAAAGGAGGGGATGGGGTTTTTTTAGAGCTGTGTGCTCTGAAGTTTTACAGGTAAAAGTTCCAGCCTCAAATTTTCTGGAGCATAGGTATCCTGCCCTTGACTCAGGGCTGGTCACCCAGAGCAACACATCCCTTTGGCCATATCGATTGTCTCCAGGATGGACAGGTCACCTACTAAGTCTTAGTAATCTTAGTGGTTTTGCTGGATCTAGGGGGGAAAGTCTTGTTCTTTCCTGCAAGACTGACATGGGAGGATGAGTCGTCTTGGCTCCTTGTTGGAGGGGCCCACTGCTGCTGGGGCCACCAAAGAGGGACTGAAAATGAAGCTGAACGGTAGGGGGCAGAAGTGGGCAGTGAAGAGAAACAGACTAGATGACCAGAGAGAGCCGCAGAAGCCAGACCGGCTGCTTAACTCATCAGTCACCTGGGCTAATCGACTCCTTTCCTGCCTGAGCTGTCCTGTGTTTTCAGTTGTTTACAAGATGAGTCTTGAATGGATATAAACACGGATGGAAATGAACCCTTAGAGACAGGCAGTGAGGACGGCGTGGGGAGGGGGCTGATAGAAGAGGGGGAAAGTGCTAAAGATATAGGGGGTTGGGCCCAGAGTGACTGTTCTTTTCAAACTTTTTTTGTGAAAACTTAGGAAAACTTTACCTGTATGATTAACTGCCTCTGCTCATAAATCAGTGGCAGCCGTTGGCTGCAGAATAATCCAAACTTTCTTGCCTAGTTCTCTCCAAGAACAACTCTCTGCTCCAGTTTGGCTGGCTGCCTGCTGCCTTCCAGACATCCACATCCACCTCTCCTACAGGCCTTTGATTCTCTCCCCACCACCCTAATCCTCTCGCTCTTCTGCACCAATCTCAAACACCCACCAATCTTAAACACCCAGGCTCAGCTTTCTCATCTCCTACAGAAAACCTCCCTTGAGTTTGCCAACCTTATTTTAAACTCTAGCAGTGCTTTCTCTGTATTGTTCACTTAGCGTTAGGTAATACCTGGTGTTGGTCGTTATTTCTGGAAATGTCCTCTCCTTGTGTCCCTTGGGAGCAGGAGCTGCAAGGCCACATGAGGTCTAGGCTGAGAAATTGTACAACACTTACATCACATTCTGTTGACCAAAGCATGTCATAAGGCCAGCCCAGATTCAGGCATGAGGAAATAGCCTCTTCATCGTGATAAAAGGAGCCGTAAGGAATTTGTGGCCATTTTTTCTGTTGCAACGTATCATAATAGGTTAGTTGGTGATAACAAGTTCCCCTTCTTTTGAGGGTGTGTGTGTGTGTGGTTATTCTAGGTTCTATTTTTATTTTTTAATTTTTAAAATTGAATTCTAGTTAATTTGTAATATATTAGTTTCAGGAATACAACATAGTGATTCAATATTTTTATAGATTGTACTCCATTTAAGGTTATTGAAATGGCTGTATTTCTCTGTGCTGTGCAGTACATTCTTGTTGCTTATTTATTTTATATTTAGTAGTTTGGTTCTCTTAATCCCATACCCCTATTTTTACTTTCCCCCTTCACCTCCCTCACTGATAACCACTACTTTTGTCTCTATATCTGTGAGTCTGTTTCTGTTCCCCCCCCCCCCTTTGGCTGTGTCATGTGGCTTCTGAGATCTTAATTCCCCAACCAGGGATCAAACCTGGGCTCCAACAATGAAATTGCCATCTTAATCACTCAACTGCCAGAGAATTCCTGTTTTGTTATATACATTCTTATTATTAATAAAGGCAATCCTTTATGCCTTCTCCCAGGACTGATGCTGAAGCTGAAACTCCAATACTTTGGCCACCTGATGCGAGGAACTGACTCATTGGAAAAGACCCTGATGCTGGGAAAGATTGAAGGTGGGAGGAGAAGGGGACGACAGAGGATGAGATGGTTGGATGGCATCACCGACTCAATGGACATGGGTTTGAGTAAATTCCGGGAGTTGGTGTTGGTCAGGGAGGCCTGGCGCGCTGCAGTCCGTGGCGTCGCAGAGTCAGACACGACTGAGAGACTGAACTGAACTGAACTGATTGTGCAAAGCAGCTGTCAGTCACACTACATCATTCTCTCCTCACTTCCAGAAGGGGGCAGCACTTGCTTCACAGAGAAAGCAAAGACCATTGTCCCTGCTGTCTCTGCTTCAGGCCACCTTAGAAAACTGCATCTGCACCCAGGCTCACCTCCAGAAGAGGGGTGATCCCTCCCTATCCCACAGAGCACTTTATATCCTTGCTGATTTATTCATCAGTTTATGTTTATTGCCCTGCTCAGACTGGCTCCTACCCTGAGCACACCATTGAAAGGGCTCTGGACAGTGCTACTTGTGAACATCATAATTACCAAATCCAGAGTTCACTTAGTGCTTGTTTTACTTGACCACTGGCAGCACTTGACATTCCTTCTTGAAACTTGCATGCACCGTTGGCTTCCTGGACCCCACGGTGTTCTCCATTTATCTCACTGCCCACTCTTTGTCAGTCTCCTTTGTGGGCTCCTCTTTCTCCTATGTACCTAAATAGAAAAGGTTTTTCTTGGTTAAAAATGAAATAATTACAAGAATATCTCAAAAGTTAACAGAGAACAATAATGCAACAAACACCTGTCTTCACCACCCAATTTAAGAAAAATACATTATAATTACTCTAAAGTCTTCTTTATGTTTTTCTCTAATCCCGTCCCTTTCCTGGCCCTTCAGAGGAAACCACTACCTTGAAATGAGTGTGTATCATTTAGATGATATTTTTTGTAATCTTACCATATATATTTGCATTTACACACAGGGGTTGTTTTTGCATATTTTTAAACTTTATATAAAATGAAATCATATTGAAATACTCTTCTACACTTGCTTTTTTCACTCATCCAGAGAATTATTATTTATTGTGGATAGCTGTAATTCATTAATTTTCACATGTGTAGTATTCAATTTTGTGAATTACCATATAGTGTTAGGAAAACTGGATATCCACATGTGAAAAAATTAGACCCCTATACCAGCGATTCCCAACCTTTTTTGGCACCAGGGACCAGTTTCGTGGAAGACAATTTTTCTGTGGCCGGTGGTGGTGTGG